GTTTCTGTTTTGTTATAGTACAGGCCTGAATTCAGCTAGGAATGACCTCAATAGTGCCTGTTTTAATGTAATCCCTGCTTGCTGACTGCTGTTCCAAGAATAAAAATTTAAGCCAAAAGATTTAATGAAATCCTTTGGGATTAGTGCTCACTGCGCTGGGGAAATTGCATATCAACCTTTTCTCTGTAATCTAACTGTATGACTTGGTATTTGAATAGGAGGGTATCCAAGAGAGACAACTCTGAGTTCATCAATAATTTACATTTTTGTAAGTTACAAACTTGGTATTTGGGATTCTGTTGCCATAGCAATCCATCTGGGCCTGAAGGGATAGTGTTCTAAGTGGTGGTTGTATAGGGATTCACAGTGTGTGCTTTAAATCCCTTCCAAACTAATCCTCAGATCTGTTTTGTGACTTATTTGAGGTTTTCTCAAAATCAGTGTTACTCACAGTAAAAAGTTTATGCTGAGCAAATTAAGCCCATAAAATATTAGGCTATGCATATCATTAAGGACTGTAAAGTTCATAATATATGGCAATTTCTGTTTCAATATGTGAAGCAATTAATAAATGCCTACAACTCCATTTTTTTCAAAATACATTTAAATTTTTGTACATTATGCAACTAGAAATTATCCACACGCTATGCTAGTTATTAGCTAATTTGAACTTCATAATCGAATGCTAGCCTCATTTTCCCAGATGTCAGTTCTGTTGTTTTACAGGATATCTGTCTATTCATAATACTTTATAACTTCCACTTTCAATTAATCTGATTTTCTCTCATATCACAGAATCACAGCATGGTTTAGCTTGAAAAGGACCTTAAGATCATCTAATTCTAGCACCCCTGCCGGGGGCAGGGACGTCTCACACTAGACTATGTCGTCCAAGGTTCTGTCTAACTTGGTCTTGAACATTGCCAGGGATGGAGCATTTCCCACCTCTTTGGCCAACCTGTTCCAGTGCTTCACCACCCTCACAGTAAAGAGCTTCTTCCTTTTATCTAACCTGAACTTCCTCTGTTTAAGTTTAAACCAATTACCCCTTGCTCTGTCCCTCCAGTCCTTGTAGACCCTCTTCAGATATTGGAAGGCTGCTGTGAGGTCTTCACGCGTCCTTCTCTTTTCTAAAGCAGAGGATAAGCTCTGCAGTTTCCATTTTCATTTCTAACACTACTGGAGCTGGGTTTTGAGGCAGAGCTGCTAAATTCAGCTGCTTCTTTTCTGAAGTTTGGTTTATATTTTCTTACTTTGCCACCCAACATTATTGTTCAAAACCTCCTATATAGGCCACATAAATAGATGTTCTCAGGTTTGAAAGACGGATCAATAAAGTCCTTAGCAAACCAGCAAACCTAGGCTAAGTTTCAGCTCTGTCAAAACCAAAGCCCTTCTGAAACTGATTTCTAGAGCTTTTAGTTCTGTTAACAAAAACATTGTCCACTTGTGCTCCCAAACTGTCACTAAACCATAATGACAATGTATTAGCAGCTCTTTATTATTCCAAAGTAAAAAGATTCGGTTTTCAAAATTATTCCTCAGTGTTTGAAAAGAGAAATACTCAAATAGCAGCCATATGCTCTACTAATGAGTGTTTAGCCCATGATCCTAAAGAGACAAAAATTCTTTCTTCATGGAGCTTGTGGAAGATCACACGGTTCTTTCAGGCTGTAAAATTAGTAATAGACTAAAGCAACTGCAGATGGCTGAAAAGATCTTGAGAAATCTTTAATTACCATGCAGCTTCCCTTTCGTCTTCTCCATTGCAGTCCACAATGAATAGTGAAGTTTGTAATAGAAGGGGCTTATTTTTGCCATGATTCTGTGATGCTAAAAATGTTTTTTGTCATCTGTAATAAATGTAAATCTACTCTGTTGCCAAGTTAAACAAGAGTTTCCTGAGAAAAATGGCAAAGAATCCTTCCTTGCAGCGGAGTAGGGTTTTGTTTCATGAGCAAAGGTATGGATGTATATATTCTTAAATTCAGTGTAGTCGACTGCACTTTGTTTATTTTACAGGTCCATTTCTTCTACCCCAGCTTAATGGACTGTTTTCATAACTAGTTACCGGTAAAGGTGACTGGGAACAGGCAGCTTAGAATTAACTAAAAAAAAAGCTTTGTTTTGATTGCTTTTGCATGTCCTTACTACTAACTGAAGTTCAAGGTGATCATTTACATGATTACTTACCCTAAAATTACATGCCCTAAAGTATCTTCTGTAGATACCATTTGTTAAATATTGATTATGCGTCAAAGGGATATTATAAGATGTATCCAGGCATATCAAAATGTGTTTCTGTTGGTATTTCCAATGGCTTCATTAGGAAGAGTCTTCCCTTGCAAATATTACCGAAATGAAAATGGATCTTCGGAAGATACTAGTGGTATGACAGATGCTATTTGTAGCTCTGGAAATATGGTTGTCACTGCAGGAGATCTCCTGCACTGAAGACCCACAGGAGTCCATAACCAAGGGTTAATGAAGTAATCTTCCAACACATCTCATAAAAAATAGCCTGTGTTTAATAGTAAGTGATAGAAACATAGTTTAATTTCTCTGGTCATTTTTTGATCTTTCTCTAGGAATGCAAATCTTTCCTGTTTATTTATCTTTATGTATTTTTAGCTCTGCAGATCCTTGAAAAGAGTGCTGCTATTCAGTCTCCTTGATAAGTGTTAATTTTTATAGATTGGGTTTTACTAATTTATTCCAGATCGGCATTATGCTTTTCATATGTTTTAGAAATTCCATCTGTCAGCTTCAAGGGAGCAGGCGGGCTGACTCTGCACTTAATGAAGCACCACACTTATTCATGGTTTCACTTACATTTGTTTCTCTAGCACATAGCCTGTATTTTTGTTCAGTTATTCCCAATTAATACTCAAGTAAACATCTGTCTCCTCCTCTCCTCTCCTCTCCTCTCCTCTCCTCTCCTCTCCTCTCCTCTCCTCTCCTCTCCTCTCCTCTCCTCTCCTCTCCTCTCCTCTCCTCTCCTCTCCTCTCCTCTCCTCTCCTCTCCTCTCTCCCCTTTCCTCCCTTCCCCTTCCCTCTCTTCTGTTTTTTTCTCTCTTTGCAGCAGAAGGAAATAGTTAAATCTTCTGAAAGGCTCAGTAATAATTTGACACAGCTTGACACAGACAGCTTAGAGAAACAGGGGAAGATTAAGACAGTGTACCGCAGAGCAGGTGTGACTGTTTATTTCTCTAAGGCACTTGCAGCTAGCTACCTCTACTCAAATGCAAGATGTACACAGAGACCTGAACCAAAACCCTGACTTTCAACCCCAGGAGAAGGTTGGGATTAGAGCTTTTAATTGAAGCCTGTCTCTGAGTATATCTGAATTTCAAATCCTTCAGTTTGTGAAGGCTTGAATGAGAGGGGAAGGCAAAGTTTTGGTTGAACCAATTCAAGAGGTATTTGAGTACAGGAGCTGAGATTAGGTCTGTCATAACCTGTACTAGGATATTGATACAGCTAGTAAGGAACACTAAGCTATGTAGGGCCTGTTAAGACTAATGTCAGATGTATTACAAGCTCTGGGATAGAAATTAGTTGATCCCACAGCTATGTTTTACACTAGCATCTGAATTATTCTAAACCTTTTGGAATTAGGGTTTCATGTATCATCCATCTAGCTTTACATTGGTCAGGTGCTCCAGAACCCCTCACCAATGTCTAGGACATAACAAAATAGGCTCTAAGAAGAGTTCCAAAAAGTTTAAAACTTAATAACAACATAATATTGTATGCTTAGGACACATGGACTATGGAGCCCTCAGCTCCATAGCTTTGTTACCTAATAGGTTTGTTCAGTAGAGTGACATGCCAAGTGAGTGATGTCTGGGATATCATAAGTATTGACAGAACTATACAGAAGGCAATATGATTTTTTTTCTACAAAGAAGGAAATTTTGATTTTTTTAATCAGCTATGTTCTGAATCCTTTATTATTTGGGTCTTGGAGGATGGTTAATTTAGAGTGAGATGCTGAATGGAACAGTGATTTCCTTTTTTAAAGACTACAGTATGGCTTGATGTGATGTAGTTTGACAATTTTAGGTAACGGCAGTTTCATGTTCCTATGAAAAAATGGATGTAAAATTAAAAATGCATTTACCTGTCTTGGTAGCTATACATTTGGCTCTCTTTTTCAACTGCATCAGAATTGGTCATCCTCCCACTTAAGTGCCTTCACAGTTTGCTCCTGCCTACTTTCATGTTGGTGTTGCCCTTACTGCCCATGAGTCCCACTTTTCTTCCTTCTTTCATGCAACATTTATTCATGAAAATTGTTAATAGCAAAAAAAAAAAAACAAAACAAAGCTGGTATGCTATTTTCCTCCAAATCCTGCCTTAAACCTTACCTCCGTTGTGATGCCTGTAAACTGCCCAAGAAAGGCTAAGCAGCTGGTGTGCTGTGATCAGTACTTCTTATGCTAATTGTCTGCATGAAACTGTGGGAGCGAGGCATCAAACGCCCCTCTGCAGCAGGTTCCACTCTCCTCCAGAAGTAATATGGAGAAGCTGTGGCTGTTGTTGGATGTACACATTATTTCTTCCTTAACACCTCAGTGTAATGAGTTAATCCAGACAAGATACAATACAGCATGAGAATTTAAATTTGACCAGAGGATTGCCAACCTCACAGGTGTGAAAGCCTGCCACCTTCCCTGAATGTAGAAGAGCTGCAGGTGCCCAGATGCAGTTCAGATGCCCAGAATTTGCTGTGAGGTTTCAAAAGAGATTTGTCCCCTGAGTCTGTGGCTTTCCTATCTCTGCTACTATTGTAAGACCTAGGGCTGGAAACTTTGCCTTTTCAGGAAAAGGAGCGATACAGATTTTTTCCTCTGGACACTTTCACAAAAAAACCTGAGGCTTTAAATCTTGGAGGAAACCAAAACTAAATGTGAAATTGTTAAACTTCTATGGCACAAGTGAAATTAGGTAGTTACTTTTGTATAGATGATAAATGCATGTATTTGTTTTTCTTACAGAAACGTGGAGTCCTGAATAAACAGAGAGAAGAGAGTTAAGCACACACTCTGTATTGCAAACAGTAAGTGACCAGACTACAAACTCTGAAACCAAACACTCTTTGTACTTCCATTTCTTTTTTGTTTGTTTGGGTTGGTTTGTTTTTTGTTCACAGTTCTTTTAACACACATAAGAAATCAGTGCATTGAGCATTTCTGCCTCTTATCCAACTCGCTTTCATTTAACAGGGCTAGACTTTTACTAATCCTATGATCATTTTAGGTAAGAGGCACAGATAATCCACACAATGTGTCTTCAGCACTGCCCATACCGAGAATATTTTCTTCTCAGTTAAAGTGTATCATAATACTAGAATGTACCAAGCTAAAAACAATATTGCTGTTATTATTATCACATTTGTTCACACCTGAGATTTTGCAGAAAAACAGGTTTATCAGTGTAATCAAATCTTGTTGGGTCAGCACACAAATAAGATTTTTATGGGTTTGTATTAACCACTTAATCACTAACTAATTGTTCTGAACTACCCTGGTCATAGCTGTGCTGTTCACTGCACAGTATCTTCAATCACAGTGAACATCAGGAGATTAAGACTACTCACTGAGACAAGAAAATGAGCTATGGTTCTGTTGTGGATGATTTCTGTCATCCTTTGAAAGAAATCTCAGATTGCTGGTTAAGTGCCAGTCGTGATACAGTACAGAGCAGACACTGCTTTTATTGCCAATCCTAAACCATATGCCCTGGGAAACATAGCAGGTTATATGGGTGTACTGCATTGCTGGGTATTAAAAGGTAGCAATATAGTTGGAGAACCAATGTGAAGGCATTTCTATTAACAGTTTTAACAAAACAGTGCATCTGTGCTAGGTGTTAATAGAGCTTGCCTTTTCGTGGGAGAAGACTGTGGACAGTAAGTAATGTACAGAGTATATGTGCTCTTCAGCACCATTCTGCTTCTAGAATGTACATTTGACAGTATGTAATGAAGAACTGAAGGAATTTTATTGACACATATGAAATCTCTCTTCATGTAGCTAAACTGGTGTATGGAACAGACTAGTTTTTGATAAAAATAAATCTTGAATATTTTTTGGCAAACAGCAAAAATAAAACTTTGGTGGAAAAGAATATGTATAAACCTCTTAGAATCTTCCTGATCTTTGGCAAAGTTTGAGCTTGCTGTTTCTAGTACCAAATAGGAAGTCTGCAGACCAAGAGCATTGCTGATGTTGTTGTTGGGTAATAATGCAAATAATACCATATGCCTGTATCTAAGGAACTTGTGAAGGGTTGCAGCATAGTGTAACAGGGTTCAGCTCTTGCAATTTTTATTTGACATGTGGAAAGATATGGTGGAACTTTTAGGAGTTGTTATTTAACACATGGGATACCTTCAACTAAATCAGTTATGCTTTTCCCCCAGACCTTATGTTTTGGCATCAGATGACTGACAGTTACATACATAAATATTAGCAATTTCATGCAATTTGTATAACTCAACTAGTGTATGTATACAAAAAAAAGTAGTTGTTGGAGGCCTGTTTGTAGAAAGTAGATTTCACTACTGCAGACACTCCAAAACTTTCTCCTCACTTGTATTCCTGTGTCAAGTGGCCAGAAGTACCAGGCAGCAGTTTCAGAATAGTGTGGATTTGTGTATAGTGAGAAAAAATTAATCAATTAATATTGGTACTCCATCACGTAAAATTTTTCTCTCCCCTGCTGGCAGAATAGGTTGACAGAACCTTTTCATAGTATCCATCAGTTAATTTTATCAGTCATGCTATTATGATTATAAGCTACAAATGATCTAACAATGAATATATAATTACAGAAATGAAACTGTACAGTGGTTATTTAACATTTACAATATGTAATTTATTTAATACTCTCTTTGGAATATACATGAGAAATTAGAATAATAAAACAGAAATAAGATTACATTTATCTCTCATCTGTCATCAGTGAGGAGCAGCTTGATCAGGCTATACATTCAACCATTTAGGGAAGTTCATGTAGGCTACCTCTGGGGTTGGTTAAAACACCCATGTGAACTGTATGTTATTTATATGCTAAGCAACAAGTCATTCTTCTGACACTTTGGATCTTTGCTTTAAAATACTTTTTTTCTCCCAACCTTAATTAAAACCTAAATTTTAAAATACCCAGTGCTGAGAGGTAAAAAATAATTGGATTCCAGATATAGGAAGAAGATAAAATTAATATTGTTCTTATTAAGAACAGAATACAATAAAAATCATAACATACTGTATTTTTGGGGGTTTAATTGTTCTCATCTCAGGTTTAAATAGAAGGGCCTGTATCATTTGTCTTTGATATTGCAAAGGGTTGATGTCATCTTTTGTGGAAGAGGAAAAAAATCTTGCAACATGTGTTCCAAAAAAGGTGCCCATTTGACCTCCACATAGTCATCAGCAATCAGATTTCATCTGCCGCATGCTGTATTTTATCAGATAATCAACATATCTGGTGGCTGCTGGTTAATAACAGTTTTTTTCATTTTTGTTTAATAAAGGCAAGTGGCATAAATTAGGGTGCTGCACAAACGAAGCACTTATACAGGAGGATGATGGCCAGACTGTGTTCTGTGAGCAGAGGAAGTTTGCCCTACTGAAAATCATTGTATGGGCAGTTTGACTCCATTATGTGTAGGAAAACTAAATTCATGCACATGAGCACGCAATGTTACCATTGTTTACTCTAATATCTATTTCAAAAGCTACCATGGTTTATATTTTGCTATTTACTATAGTATATCTAGAGGTGTGTAAAGTACCATAAATGAAGTAGCTACATGAAGGGTTCCTAGGTTTGGAAGAGACAGTTTTGTAAAAGTTGATTTTATGAGCCTTCAAAAAGAAATGACCCTGTGGTTTCTGAATGTTCACTGCTAATAACAATAATCTTCCCTTGCATTACGATTTTAATCTTTCATTGCAATATAGTAATCTAGAAGCAGCATGGAAGCGCCCTCATTCCCTGTGCTCCCAGGTTTTGTCATTGCCCATTAAAATTCATGTGCGTGTACTGCAGGCTTGCATAAAATAGTTCATTCGAGTGTTCACACTACCTGAATTCTTTAATGAGGTCTTCCCCTAAATTAGTTTCACTTTTTTTCACTTAAATTAGTTTCTTTTTTCTCCCTGGGTGGAAGCGTGAACTTCCAGCGAATTATATAGCAGCACTGGCATAGTGCAAAGGTTTTTTATTTTGGCTCTCTTCTGGTTATTATGTTGAGACTATTCAGAGTAGTATATTCTCTGTGACTCATATGCTTACAGAATTCTGTGCCTCAAAACCTCATTTTTCTTTTTTCTTTTTTTTTTTTAATCGATCTTGTAGTGCAGGCACAGCTTTGCATTTTTAAATGTGAGATCTCTGACACGGATTTAGATTCTGTACTGCTTTGAGGTATGCTAGTTATGCAACCTAATTTTACAAAATGGCTCTGTGTTTGTACTTCCCTGGGGCTTCAGTTTAGATGTCATCTATCATTTTAGCACCGTGATTGATTACTCTCTACTATTTAATCTATCTGCTGCAGCTTCTCAGATTTTTCTTCAATTGGTAAACACATACTTTTCTGAACACATTTTCAAATGATGTGTTTTCCAAGTGCCCCAGAAATCATGTAATCATATTTTTCTCAGCTAGGATTTTAACTATTTCAGCCATTCAATGGTTTTCATAAATTTATTGTCTGATATTTTATCTATTACTTGGAAGTTTTGCATTGGAAATCCGTGCTGTATTTTCCATTTTTCAATGTTATTGCACATATTTAGTGTGAAATATAAGTGTTTTTATCAACTGCTTCCTTGTTCCAGCAAAAAACAGTAAGAGAAATAAGCACACTTTTTAAGCATAGGAGCCAGATGCAGGGCCTGCTGCTGCATTAGACTTTAACAGCCTTTGCACATTAGGTTTCAAAAGCAAAATACTAGATTAATTTGCTGGTTGGAATTTCACAAGCCAGCTTCAGTCAGTAAGGTTAGCATGTGCTTGTTTTCTTGTCTTGTAGACTGTGTTCCTGTACTGTAATTTGCTGTTTTTAGACTTTACATTGAATATCAACTTGGCTATGGCTGTAAATCAGACTTCTTCAGAATAACACCAAGTTTCCACTTAAAAACGGGTTGGGTTTTTCTGCATTAAATCATACTATGTATACAAATGGCAGCATTTTTACACAGTTACTGGGGTAACTTCCAGGAAGCTACTATAATGAACTGTTTCTATGGTCCACATATCAAAGAGATTTTAGTATCAAAATTTCTTTTTCCCACAGTTTTCATTACGGATCTATGTTATCTGTGTTTATGAATGGGGAGGTTGGTCATTTGTTTGGATTTTTTTACTTTTTAGTTACTGATTGCATTTAATATTTGTGATTAAAATCTCTCAGTAAGAAAAATTATACTGTGTCATCATAATGCAGCTTTGCTGACGTTAGTAACTGCTATTGCAGTCCTGTCTCTAAATACAATCAGACAAAATGAATAGACATCTGCAGTGCTGCGTGCTTTTTGGAGGTGGTTTGGTGTTCTTTTTTTATGAGAATGGGCTTTAATCAGCACTTGCCTTTGTTTTGGAATTCTTAATCTCTTTGCACAGTCCTCTTTTAGAGACTGCCAGGTTAGCTTTGGATATATATCTTTGTAATTCCTGGTAGGTGGATTCCAGCCCACATTTTGTTAGAGAATTAGAGACAGCCAGTTCTGTCACTGTTCTGTTACTGTCCTTGTAATGACTCACACTTCAATTAGGAACTTCGAGGACAGAATTTCTTGTCAACTCTGCTATTTTTCATTTATGGTGCGTGAAGGTTAACTCAAAAGATAGCTAATGTGATACAAGTGATTATGTATAATACAGGTTAAGGTGACTTCTCAGTATGGAGTTGGTGGAAGCTAAGGAGCATTATTTGGCAGGTTTGGATCCTCTCCAAGTATGAGTCTGTTGCCTTCTTTCAATGTTTTGCACTATAAATCTTACTTTGAAGACATATAGCCATCATAAATGTCACATCTTGACAGC